TTGCTGCAAAGTGGGTTCTCAGCGCTTCGTATTTGGTGCATGTTACTAGGTAATGCTCTACTGTGTTGGGCTTCCAGCACTCGGTACAAATCGGGCTACTTGATTTTTCGGCTATCTTCCGAATAACGGTCGAGGCCGAAAACATACGCTAACAGGGCCTCAGCCACGTGTCAATTGTGGACTTCAACCACCGCCGAGAGTATATCCGACGCCGCTACGCGCGGCGGGGATTAGGGCTAAACTAGATGGCTGGGACTCACGAACAAATAAAATGAAGGAAGCTGCAGGACATGCGGTAGCTGCTGCTCGTGAGTCCCCGAGATACTTTCAGCGGTGGCGGCAGTCGCCGGAAGTGCGCACTTCAAATAGCCGGAAGTTCAATTGACACGTGACTGAGGCCCTGTTAGAGTATATTGTCGGCCTCGATAATTTGGGACCGTTTTTCGGAAGATAGCCGATTTTTCTTTCCAGTGCCCGTCGCAGTCTCCACAGTGTGTTGGAATTTATGACTTTTGTGGGTTCCTTGACTTGGGACCTATTGCTGGGATCTCTAGTAGGCGATGCGCTTGCCGCCCTTTGTTACTTAGAGCCCACCGTTGCTTCTATGCTGCGCCGATTTGTTGTATTATGCGGACCTTACCATCGTCTCTGTTTAGCCCGATATTTGCCAGATCCTGGCGAGGACAAAATATATTATCCCAATTATTCACAATATAATGAATGGTGGAATCAAGAACTGAAATCACTACACTTAGTACATTACCACGGATGCTCCGCTCCTTTCTCAGTTGCCAGGTACAATATGATAAAGAGTCAGCCCAGGCTTTTTCCCCAATGACAGGTCATGCTTAAAGCAAGTTGCAACTCTGCTGCTTCAACTTTATCATTACCTTGCCTAAAAGTCATTGTTGTAATAAGCCGTGACTGGCTTTTGACAGAGTTGTCATGCTGTTTTTCGTTTTTTTCTCCCCCTCATGATTTTATGTGTTACAAATTCTTTGCGCAACAGTGCACTGACACAGTTTACAATAAGCTGCCTCTGATCCGTCTGAAGATCTTTTGAGCCAAGGGTATGTTTTCTCCAAATTACTATTATACTTGCCATTGCTGTCATAAGATGCTTTCAATTTATTTTTTTTTAATTTTTTTTTTTTGATGACGTGGCCATTTGTAAAAGTACATAAAAGCTATCACCGATAGAACTAGGTCGATGTTATCTCTATTTTACATCCTCACGTAGTTTCTTAGCAGTCTGAATCGCTTGGTATCTTTGGTAGGTTTTGGTTTTATATCTCCTATTTATTCTAGTAAATTAACATAAATTACAGAGGGCCTTGGTTTATCGCAGTCACGATCCGTTTAGGAAGACAACAAATTCAATAAGAGATGGCGCGAATCTCCATTAGTCCGTACCAGGATATCACAACAAAGACAAACTGAAACAAATATGTTGAATGTGTTCCTACACTGATGTTAGTAAATCTTCGTGTTTTTCACGGAGTAGCCATGAAAAAAACGTGAGCACGTCTTGTTTAGAAAAGCCAGGAAAAAATCCAAATACACCAGCTCATTGTTTTAAGTCAGCTCAATTTCAAATATACAAAATTTATGGAATCTGGCGTCAAAAACGCCAATATGGCAACCCTGACACCAACAATGAAAGATCATGCGGAAGAGTAGTCTCCCTTAGTAGATCTCTCGTTAAAGAAAATAAATTTAGGGTTTCCACCAAAACTGACGGGGTAGAAAGGAAAGTCAACTTGCTAGGGACCTTTGAGACAGGCATTTCACAACTTTAACTAACTACTGTGAGGTAAAGGCAAGACTAGAGTTGTAGCCAATGGCTATAAGCAATAAGACCATACTCGTCCTTTTAAATTATTCAGTATTCTGTACAATTTATATTTACAGTTGTCGTAGGGGGAAAACATTACTGTAATTATCACGAGTTATGTTGTGTAACAGTCAGTAACAGTGTAAAAGTTTAAATTTATTAATTAATTTAGCTCAAAAAGCTTGTCACTTACCACGCAAGGACCAACAGTAGCGCACTGACCAGACTCTTGCTTCTCGATCCGAACGAAGGTTTCGGGCTAGAAACCGCACCCCGACGGATTTTGTATTAATATTATAACTGACCTTGGATCTCAGCTCCACCAGGCTAATGTTAGTAAATGGGTTCCAGGAAAGGTATTGGAAAGTGAAGGCAGCCGGTCTGATGTTGAGTCTGTCATCATATGCCATATGAGCCACTGGTAGAAATATGTTCATTTAGTTTACTGCATCACTGACAGAGAACAGCAGATTACTATTTATAAGCATGGGGTGTCCAGTTGTAATTTTTGATTGATAGACTGGCACCTTTCTGTCTTTCCAGATGATAGTGTTATTTTGTGCTATGAGGAGGCATGGGACTCACAGCCCATGGCAGGCATCGCTTCAGAGGTCCTGGGTAGTTGGCATCCTTTGGATATTTTCTCCATGTGATGCCTTTATGTTGGGAAATGAGCAGGCAGATAGACTTGCTGGTTCAGCACAACTTGATAGTGAATTGATGTATGAAAAGCTAGATGTTGTGAGGGTACTTTGGGAGCGAGTGAACAGTGCGGAGGCACAAACAGATCATTACAGTATGAGGAGACTGGTGCTGTGGGAGTTACTGGGGGATCTGGCTGACACTCTCAAGGCAAGGGCGAGACGAATATAGTCAGTTACTGGTATCATCCGAATTCAACTCTTCGTTTGCTGCTGAAGATGGGAATGGAGCACTTAAAGGGGGGTGTCCCAATTGCTGTGGTGTCGATTCTTAATTAAACATTCAACAGCCCATGGTGATGGCGAGTGGCTAGCAAGACCTGCCCAAGTTAGAAAAGTCTTCCACAGTTAGAGCTTGGGATTTCAGGACCGTTGTTGTCAATGTCTGTGTTAAGTCTTTCTTCTCAGACACTCAGCTGTCACTTCTTTGTGGCGTGTCTAGTAGAGCTGTTGTATACAGTTGAACAGGGTATCTGAAAATGCTTCCTACTTAAATGGCATCCAAATAGTAGCTCATAGAGTGACCGGGTATTAAACCTTTAGGTTACACTCCTGGGGTGGGAACAGGGTATCTGGAAACGTTGCTTGCTTAAATGGCATCCATATAGTGGCTCATAGATTGACTGGGTATTAAACCTTCAGGTTACACTCCTGGGATGGGAACAGGGTATCTGGAAATGTTGCCTGCTTGAATGACATCCATATAGTGGCTCATAGATTGACTGGGTATTAAACCTTCAGGTTACACTCCTGGGGTGGGAACAGGGTATCTAGAAATGTTGCCTGCTTGAATGACATCCATATAGTGGCTCATAGAGTGACTGGGTATTAAACCTTCAGGTTAAACTCCTGGGGTGGGAACAGGGTATCTGGAAATGTTGCCTGCTTGAATGGCATCGAAATAGGGGCTCATAGATTGGCTGGGTATTAAACCTTCAGGTTAAACTCCTGGGGTGGGAACATGATATCTGGAAATGTTGCCTGCTTGAATGGCATCCAAATAGGGGCTCATAGAGTGACTGGGTATTAAACCTTCAGGTTAAACTCCTGGGGTGGAAATTAAAAGCATAAATAATTCAGCTGTTAATAAGTAAAAGTATTATGTTCTTACATGATACACCCAGAGCAGCAAGGTATATAACATGAAAGTAGCACTTGGGATTACTGTTGTGGACCTTAATTAAAACTTTTTAGGAGTTCAAACTAGTTATCTGGAGAATGTTCCTGTTGAATTGACATTAGCCTTGGTGTGGCGTCAAACTTTCACATGTCACCCACAAAGAGACAAACAGTCAGCCTTACAAAATAGTTATAACATTGTATCAGGCATTCCCCTTGTGGATTGGAGAAGGGGGAGAGAGTAGATCCACAGCCCTCATTACAAGCATGTCTTGAAAGGCAGCTATTTGAAGTTTGCTGAAATCGCTGGTGTTGGGCCTAAAGGTGAACATATCTGCAATCATTTTCACTGTATCACAATCCCTTCCTGATTTTTCTCCTTTTGCAACATTGTCCATGACATTTTGTTCCCATAAATCTACCTCAATACCTGTATCATTTATGTTTCGCTTGCATATATCTTTTTATTGTAGTATTTATCATAGGGTTAAACCCTAAATGTGATTTATGTTTAATTGTCTGAAAAGGAAAAGTAATAAGAACAGAAACTGGTTAGCCCAACATATTTGTCCTCATCATGTAGCAAGTCCTTTGCAGAACATTGCTCCCGTCACAGTCTGCCTGAAAGAAACTCTGTCTCTCCCACCTCATGTACTTTCCTGTCCAAGGTGTCACTTATATCCTGTGCCCATCTTTGTGATGGTGGGCCCCTGCTGCTCTTTCATGGTACTGTGCCTTCTGCTGGGTTTTCTTTCAAGCCGCCATGGTGCTTGATGTGGTCACATTATTTCCAGACAAGATGTTGTTTACTAGCAAATCTTCCTTGATGTTCAGATCTTTTAGTATGTCCGTATTTCTTTTCTGTTCAAAAACCCAAATGTTCTTCCTTAATGACTGTAAACAGTGCTTTATATATGCCAAGGTAAGAAAATGCCTTTTACTTCACACTCCAATGGCAGTATTTTCTGAAGGATTTTGTTTAGCTTTGAACTTCTCTAAGAGATGTAACATCCTTTTACATTATTCCACTTATGTTGTAAAAAGCCCTCTGGGATCACGTGGACATTTCAAAAGATCAGACGGAGTATCCATATTTTGCAAGACTAATTCAGCCAGGAAAGGGAAGTGGCGGGGTAAGCAGGGTTGTGGACAACATTCAGTGCCAAAGGAAAAGCAGAGGCTGACTTTTAGTCATATTGTATCTGGCAATGTTAGCATTGCAACTCTTTGTTGGCTACTAAGAAAGTAGTGGAGCATCTGTGTTGATGTACTAAATGCATTGATATCAGTTCTTGATTCCTCCGTTCATTATTTAGTAAATAATTGTGATAATATTTTGTCCTCAGATGCCCCAGGATCTGGCAATTATCAGGGAAATTTATGAGCATGAATATTCCTCAGAAGAATTTGAGCTACAGCTTGACAGAGCCCTTGAAACAAAGGCAGAGACTATAGTTATTGAACCAGCTCGTCTCGGGGAGGACACCGCACGATGGATTTCTTGCGGAAACTGCCTGCACAAAACTGCTGTCATTTCAGGGCTCGGTTGCTTGTTGTGTGGTGGGATGTGGCCAGAGAAAGGAATTTTCTTTCTACCCCTGGGCTTCACAAGTGTTGTGTGCGCAGGAGTATATGCAATATCATGGCAGTTTGATCCCTGCTGTAAATATCAGGTCGAATACGATCTCATGAAAGTACCGAAGCTGCCTCTACACACTCTAACAACTACAACACCTGTTGTGTTAGTACGCAGGGATGACACTAGAAGGAAGGTTCTACAGAACATTTTAGCTTTAGCTGCCGGTTCCTTCTGTTTTTACAAAATATATAGATGGTACTTGTAGGTGCATTATGTTTGACTAGGTGGAAGCAATTTGAGTTCTTACTACAGTTGTAGTTGCAAATAAATAATAATGAATTAATAGTAATAAGTTTCAGTAATCATGTCATTTTTATGTACATCACCTTTTTTTTTTTTTAAATTAATGAAAGTTTTTATTTTTTAACATCTGTATCATGTAAGCAATAATAGTAGTAAGAGATCTCCAAGATACTTTCATGCAGTCATTATTTTAGTTACCTCAGTATTATAAACAATTTAATTTCAGTCTTTTCAAATGTGGCAAAGTGTTTATACATGCAGTAAATGTATACAGTAAACATTGTATTTGTTCACACAAATATGACAGTGGTAGGAGATATGTGTGTGTGCAAAAATTGTCTGCCTAATCATGTAACATGATAAGATAGGTTTTTCTCTTCCAGATTGTAGTCTGTAGGATTTAACACCTTAAGAATGAGAACCAAACAGATACAAGTCCCAGTTCAATCGCATAAAACAGTAATATTATTGGACCTGACAGTTACATAACCTGTTAGTCCAATCTGGACTAGGAAATCTTCATGTTCTTCTTTGTTCACCGGCTGTTAGCTCTGGCAGAAAGTCTTGGTTGTTCACCAGCTGTTAGCTCTGGCAGAAAGTCTTGGTTGTTCACCGGCTGTTAGCTCTGGCAGAAAGTCTTGGTTGTTCACCGGCTGTTAGCTCTGGCAGAAAGTCTTGGTTGTTCACTGGCTGTTAGCTCTGGCAGAAAGTCTTGGTTGTCCACCGGCTGTTAGCTCTGGCAGAAAGTCTTGGTTGTTCACCGGCTGTTAGCTCTGGCAGAAAGTCTTGGTTGTTCACCCATTTGGACTTTGGCTTTGTGCCAGGGCCTGAGTTTTGTGTGCACATTTTACTGGCTTGTTTATGTGCGTTTGATTGTTCCTTGCCGCTCGGGCAGACACATTCCGACTTTAAAGGAAGTCTGCAATTAGTCAACTACTACGATATGCTTGTTTGGGGAGGCCGTGGGTCTATTCTTGTTTTTACCACAATGGGGCCACAGAATCAATACGGAGAGGGCTGGGAATAAGAATGATAACTCATGTTGTGCCTCCTATATGGTTACTGCAGAGCAAATGTAGCTCTTTATGCATCATTTTGTTTCTGTGTGTTGTTAGCTATCATGTGGGATGCAAAACAAATTCCCTGGTTTTGGTGGGCCATGGGTGTAGGAGAGTTGAGGAACACTGGTCTAAACCAACATAAAGCGATCTGGTGCAAAATTGCCCACAGCGTTGATCAAACCCGGCACCCTGGAATTATGAAGTATGTTTGCAACGCCTAAACCACATATGCCAACATAGTATTTGTACATGCAATAAAGTGATAAGTAAACGTTGTAATTGTTCACAAACATGACAGTGGTATGGGGTATCCAAGCCACTTTTTATATTGATGTTATTATAGAAACCCACATATTCAGTGAAAGGATTACTTTGTCATTTCATGTGTAGCCTAGTCTGAATACAATGATGCAGCAGACATTGTAATTTTTTTTTTCACACTAACATAATAGTTGTGGGATATCAAAGTTTTCCTTTGGGTGTTAAAATAGTGTTACACGCATACTGACTTCTGTATTCTTGACCTTTTTTTTTTTCCTTAACTGCTTCTGATGTTGAGGGAAAGACAGCTTGTTAGTTCTGCACATTTGGTGGGAAATTGATTCATGACAAGTTAGATGTTACAAGGGCCCCCCAGGATTGAGTAAATGACAAGTTAGATGTTACAATGGCCCGCTAGGATTGAGTAAATGACAAGTTAGATGTTACAAGGGCCTGCTAGGATTGAGTAAATGACAAGTTAGATGTTACAAGGGCCCCCCAGGATTGAGTAAATGACAAGTTAGATGTTACAAGGGCCGCTAGGATTGAGTAAATGACAAGTTAGATGTTACAAGGGCCCGCTAGGATTGAGTAAACAGTGCAGAGGCATAAATAGATCAGCAAGATGTGAAGAGAGTGAGTGGTGCAGTGAGGAGTGACCAGGGGATCTGGCCAATGCTCAACACCCACAGAGTGGCAAGATGGACACACAATCAGACTGACTGGCACCATCAGAATTGGAACTCTGCACTTGTTGATGAAGATGGGGGTGGAGCACTTACTGGGAATGTCCCGACCACCTGTGATGTCGATTCTTAACTCTAAACTGATTTTGAACACAGTGACCTTAATGCTTGTTTATACCACTTTTAGGGCATTCTAGAACTGAGAGGTCTTCAGTTTGAGAATTCTAAACTCATTTTGAGGGAACACAGTGTCTGTATTGCCTGTTTATACCACTTTTAGGCCATTCTAGAACAGAGAGGTCTTCAGTTTGAGAATTCTTAACTCATTTTGAGGGAACACAGTGTCTGTACTGCCTGTTTAGACTACATTGAGGGCAGTCTAAAACAGGGAGGTCTTCGGTTTGAGAATTTCAGGGTGAGTTGAGAACCAGAATCACAGCACCCAGGATATTCTCATAAAGCTGCATCCTAATCTTTGTCAGCCAGCAAAGTTCCATTGCTGATGGTGCCTGTGGCAGTTTATGTATCTGTCTTGCATTCCCAGTAAGTGTAGAGAATCAGCCAGATCCCTAGGCCACTCTCAGCTGCTCCGGTGTCTCCACATCGTAATGATCTATTTGCATTGTTCACTTGCTGCCAAAGGGCCTTGGCTGTGTCTGGCTTGTCATGCATCAGTTCATGACCCAGTGGTGCAGCAACAGCTAATCTGTTTGCCTGTTCATTTCCCTACACATCTCCTTAGAAAAAAGATACAAAGGACGCTGACTGTCAGAGATCTCTGAAGTGATGCTTGCCACCACTCTGCATTGAAAATGCCTTTCTCCACTTTTCGAGTCTGTAATGAGAATGTAGAGCTGTGTGACTAGTGCAGCTGCCACCAACTGAGCAGGGTAGGAGCTTTCATTTTGATGCAGTCGGATATAGTGCAGTAAAGTTTGTAAGTCTTCACTAGTCACCACAGATAGAACTTGACACTTTATGTCCTGAATGCAGAATTAGACACTTTGAGTTCTATACACAGATCTTGGCACTTTCTGTTAGACAGAATTTGACTCTTCCATTTGCCAAGCAGAACACTTTCTAGTCAGTAGGTAGAACTTGAAACTTTCTGGTTGGTAGGCATGGTCACCAGCAAAGAGTAATTCATTGATCTTACTAGACCTAGCAAGCTGGCAGTCTTCTTCTCCTCCTCCTCCTCTTCTTCTCTTCCACCTTGTACCTTGTGAAGTGTCGAGGAGAAGGGGGGGGGGGGGGAGGATGTAACGTTAGTTGATAAGCTCTGTCAAGAGCACTATTAAGATTGATGTTCAAGCCAGCATTATATTCGTTATTGTTGCAGAGAATACACCAGATACAAACAGACTGATAAAATGGTGTTTGGCCATGGCATTGTTAAAGGACTATGGGCATTGGATGATAGATTCATGTTTTGTAGACCAATCAGCATTCGTTGGGTGATGTCAATATCTCGCCAGGCAATAAAAACAATATTAGAAGAAAATATTAAATGGAATCACACCGCACGAAAGTGTTGACAGATGTTTACCCTGATGTTGTTTATTTGTTGAGAAGCAGGCAATTATCATGCCATTGTTAATTATCTCCTAGCTTTTAAATGTCATTGCCATGTTTGTTGGTACAAGTTGTGAAGATATCACAGTTTATATTTTGTGAAGATATCACTGTTTAAATTTTTGTGGTATCACGTTGAAAGAAGGCCAATCAATAATAAATGATACTTTGTTTCTTTATAAAATGTTTTTTGTCTCTTTATGCTGTTGAGTTATAAGTTAAGCTAGTTATATATATCCTTTACAGGAACTTACACAATCATTATCTCAAAATGCTAGCTATTAAAATTAGGACACTTACAGAACGAAGCTAAAAAAGCTGATTCTGAGATGTACAAAAGTGTGTATACATCTTTGAACTGCTGAAGCAAAAACATCCTGCATGAAGCCCAGAATTCAGTTAAAAGCCATAGACTGATAAGAGGGAAGGAAGCCTTAGATGGTTCAGAAAAGTCAGGATGTAACAAGTATACATGTCTGAGAATATCAGGCAAGAAAGAGAATGGGTCAAAACATCAGAGGAAAAATCACACTTGTGTAAGGTAATATACACATTTGACCAGGAGTGCAGCGAGTGGCCAGCAGCCACATGTGGGTGATGTGATTACCTGTACATACAGATGGCTCTGTTTTTAAGGAGGGAGAATTGTATTGGGATTGATAGCAAAATCAAACTGGTAGCATTGGGGCTTCTTTTTCTAGAAACAAAAAATATACCAGTACTCACTTCAAAATGTATAAAAGGTACCAGTATACAGCACAAAGTTAAAATCAAGAGGTCAACTTCACTACATCAGATTTTATCCCATATGGCTCAGTCTCTCTGTGCAGAATGGCTAGCCGCCTGCCAAAAGCACTGCACAGAGCACAAACTCCGTAGCTCCAGGGATGATCTCCAGGGATCCCAGTAAAAAATTGCACTCGTGGCCTGAAGGGTGCAGCTGTGAAATGAACCCACAGTGATTACTATTGTAAAGTAAAAGACCCTTTCCCAAGCCTTCAGACAAATTGGGTATATAGGGCTAGACCTATATTGAACAGACTGTACAGCGCTGTGGGTGATGTGCCCAACATCACACCGGTTTACTACAGCAGCGTTGATAATAAAGCTGGCCTAAAAAGGATACTAGCACTGAAAACGTCTGGGGGGAAAAAAAGCCCTAGGTACAAGAAAGCCTGAAATGTGGAACAATATCTAGTCTGAGAATAGAAATGGAGGTGGAGGCAGTCACTGCTGCTGGTTGCAAACAGTTGCCAACACATATCATGACTTAACAGTCACAAAGCTTGCTGAGTATGGTGAAGACAAGCAGAGTGGTATGCTTTGCTTTGCAAGTGAGAGTATTCAATGTTCTTTGGATCTTGTTTGTTCTCCAGGATATT